GTTGTTGGTCGCAATTGGGATTAATTTGCATAGATGCTATGCGGAAATTTTTAATCAGTTTTCGTCCGAATTGCATGATTGTCTTGAAAATATGAGGATATATATTGTTAGAATCGAAGAGGGTATCAATATTAATTACAATTAAAAATCCAAATATTAGTAAACACCACTATAATCGTATGAATATTCAATACAAAAACACATGTAATGACGTAGGAGTGGCCAGTAATTCTGCGCAGAGAGATCGACCACGTTGATTGTACTTTTCAGAATGCTCCTGTGAACAGTGTTGCCAGAATATATTTTTATAATGTTGCAGTTTTATCTAAAAAATGAACCAGATTTCATAAAAAATGTACTAGATTCTATAAAATTCTTTAAAACGGTATCATTCTCTTGTTCTTCCCTAATTTTAGCAAGAGCCCACTCATCGTTGACTATAGTTGTTAGTAGCCCACTTTCTTTGGATTCCGCTTTGTTGCAGTGGGAGCACTCTGCTGGACATGGTCTTCTAGAGAGAGAATCGGCATTTCTGTGACTTATTCCGACTCGATGTTCGATCTTAAAGTCGTATTCTTGAAGTCGTTCAATCCATCTGGCGATTTGACCCTCTGGGTTTTTGAACTGCATCAACCACTTAAGAGCAGCATGATCGGTACGGATTAAGAATTTCCTTTCATATAGGTATTGGTAGAAGTGTTCTACACATTTCACAACTGCCAGGAGTTCTCTTCTCGTCACGCAGTAATTTCGCTCAGGTTTCGAGAGCACTTTACTAAAATAACCTAGTACTCTTTTTTCCCTTCCTGAATCTGCGAAAGCACTCCTCCAATTCCCACATTACTAGCATCAGTATCCAGGATAAATTCTCCCTCTGGTAGAGGGTAGCTTAGTATTGGTGCTGTTGTTAATTAATTCTTCAATGTTTCAAAGGCAGTTTGGCAGTCCTCGTCTCAGCAGAATTCCCTCGCTTCTTCTGTGAGTCGCGTTAGTGGTTTAGCAATATCTGCAAACTTCTTTATGAATCTTCGGTAGTACGTACAAAGCCCAAGAAAACCTTTTATTTGGTGTTTGTCCTTTGGTTGTGGCCACTCTTTGTTAGAAGCGACTTTTTCCTTATCTACAGCCACGCCATTCTTACTGACTACATGACCCAGGTAATTGACTTTATTTTGGAATAGCTGGCATTTCTTGGGGTTGAGCATCACTTGGGCAGCTTGAAGTCTTTTAAAAACATCTAAGTTCTTAAGATGTTCATCAAATGTTTTCCCCAAGACTATTATGTCGTCTAAATAAACCAGGCATGTTTTCCAGGATAACCCTCTCAATACATTTTCCATAAGTCTTTCAAATGTCGCGGGGGCATTACATAGTCCAAATGGCATGACATTGAATTGCCATAATCCAGATCCGGTGGTAAAAGCTGTCTTTTCTTTATCTTCTGGGTCCATTTCGACCTGCCAATATCCAGACTTTAGGTCTAAGGTAGAAAATAATTTACTTCCGGCCAATGTGTCCAAGGTATCGTCGATTCGAGGAAGAGGATAACTGTCTTTCTTGGTTACATTGTTCAACTGACGGTAATCCACACAGAACCTCGTAGTTCCATCCTTTTTCTGGACCAGGACTACTGGAGAGACCCAAGGGCTGGTAGAAGGTTCTATCACCTTGTCTTCCTTCATTTCCTGAACAATCCTTTCAGCTTCCTCTCTCTTGGCCTTTGGTAATCTTCGAGCTGATTGACGAATCGGCCTGGCTTCACCAGTGTCAATTTTGTGTTTTACAACAGAAGTTCTCCCTGTTTTTCCTCCTTTTGGTACAAAAATGTCACGATATCGTCGAAGAAATTCCTTTATTTTCTTCTTCTCTGATTGATTCAGAGATTGACCAGCAACTGCGATCATTTGCTCGAATTTGTCGTTGGAATTATCAGAAGTTGTTGTCTGACGAATTATGGAAGTTACTGGCACACACGTTCCGATTCTGGTCTCTTTCTTGATGGTAATCGGGTGATCATTAACGTTTATAAGACGGACTGGAATCTCCTTAGCAGTCGTAACCAACCCCTTTCCGATCAGAATTCTTCGTCCAACCTCTTCATCGTGGTTCCAAGGTTCCATCATGACAGGTGTTCCTTCTTCCATAGTTTCTTGAAGCCGTGCTACTATAACGGTTTCACTTCTGCCAGGTACCACCGTATCCTCCTGTACAGCAACTGGCACGGTACTGTCCCCATATGGATGTAGGAATACCTCTTCGGCACCAACTTTGATCACTCTGTTTTTAAAGTCCAACTGCCAGTTCTGCTTTCTTCCCTGTCGTCTCCAACTCGCGATCTTCTAACTCCCGACGTAGCTTGGTCACTTTTAAATCACACAGTCTTTTAGCCATTATTGTCCACTATTTATTTACACTATCTCACTTCTCGACACCAATGTGATGTTTGTTTGCTTTAAAACAACAGTTTATTTATTAATAATTTATTTAAACACTTATTTATTTTATAACACAATTATTCTAATTTATGTATACTTCGAATGTCTTTAAACTAATCACTATTTATATTCACTACTCTCTATCTACTAATTACTATTTATCTTCACTGTCCATATATCAACTCATTTTGATGGCTCTCCTCCACCAATTTATATACAAATTGGTGATCTAGAATGCTCGCCCACCAAAATTGCCAGTATGTACCAGAAACATTATCACGTTCTAGAAATAGTATCTCGTTGATCCTGGAATGTTCGCGAAAGTGTCTCCACCATAGTCGTCCCATAGGTTTGGTCTTAAGGGGTTTAATTATGTATAATAATCGGACAAGTTGAGCCTCAAAGGCCAAATAAGACAGAGAGGGACTTGTAGGGTTAGAGCATGACTGAATAATGAAATGGCTCACATAGCAATATTTTGGGCCTTCATTTAACTAATAATAATTTAGAGGGAAGGCCAATTGTGGATGTAACAACCCAATTTTTGGCTGTTAGCTACTTCAGATTTATATAGGCAATACATTTATTTTCGAATTAGAATTTACGTTTACAATATCAAATTCCTCCATTCTAACCAAAAAGAAACCATAGCCACACCACAAAATTGATAGGTCACTACGTCCTTGTCTTGTTATTATTAATATGTCAGATGCCAGAGTTAATACAAATTTCTCCTCGGATAGTAGAGTCAGGAGAGTTAATTCGAGAGTAAAAATTTTCAAGTTTTTAAACGCTTCAGAGTTAACTCTAGATGGCTCTTCAAACATCTACAGTAAGTAAATAAACGACATGGAGTTAATCCGTTACTCTGGAGTAAGTTAATAAACACACCCTAGGTAATATTGCTAACAATATACTCCGAAATTGCATTTATAGTATAAGTTCATAGCCGCTCTTAGCCTGAATACATAATGTTTCAAGATATATTCGTTTGTCAAACTTATGATACTTTTCTATTCAGTGGCGCATCCAGAGTTTAAGTCTGAGGGGTTAGTGGTAATAGAGTATAAGTCTGGGAGGGATAGTGGTAATATTTTACCTTATTTTTGATAATAATACATTTAAGTACCTATAAAAAGTAGGGTTTCAAAACTCTTTGGCAGGGGCAGGTATTATCAACAAGTGACATCGAGTAGGCCGCATAATGATACACAATGTGTTTCATAAAGATCAGAATTAGTTTTTCTTGGTGAAATCATACCGATTTTCCTACTTCTCCTTTTAACAGCACTAAATGTGTTTTTAGATAATAGATTTATGTGAGGGAATTTTTCACTATATCTTCGAAATGGCGCAGTGGAATTTCCTAAACACTCTTCAATGTCATCATCATATCTGTATATTCGTCATATATGTATGTTTCCATATTATTTATATTTTTTTAGTATTATTTATATTTTTTTAGCATATCGCGCTTCCGGTTTTAAAATAAAGCAAAACGGGATTGCAATGACCTGTCAAACAATAGCTGCCGGTGGGAAGGGCTCGTATATCTAAGGGGGTTGCGACATAGCCTTAAATCTTGGACGATATTTTTATGCCAAGCTTGCCAATTTATGAAAAATGTATAAGCACTTTTTTTTCATAAAAGATTTAAATTGAATCCGTTATTCATAATTTTATATGTTGCATGTAGACCACATCCTATGTGGCAACCCCTTAGATATACCAACATAACTAACGTCACTGTGGAATGTTTTCATGACCTACTGAAAGTGGGATTCGTTCTTCCGACATTTGCTAAGAGTAACTTTTTAATGTAAAAATTATTGAAAAATCATAATTGGAAATTGTCTTTCAAAAAATTAGAAAATAAAAAGAGGGAGGAAATAACCCCTTCACAGTCCATTAGTCCCTGTTTATGAGAGTACCCTTGTCTACAATATAAAATAAATAAGTTATTAGTTTTGGGGAATGGACTCAATTCCCGCAGTCAAACAAATCAAAATACTTGAATTCGAGTATAAAATGACGTATTTTTTGTTTTAATTCGTACAGGCATTATTTGTAAATTATATTTATTATCTCAGGAAAAAACAATTAAGGACCATACTTTATTAAAAGATTTCGTCTCCTTAAGTTTATTAATTACTTTCGGTTTACCCTGTATACATTTTATATGCAGTTTAACAATTGAATTAATGTTTACCGAAACAACTGCATATTCATTTATCTGGTTTTATGCTTTATTCCCGTGTTTAGTAGTTTTGATTAATTATTATTATAATATTGTAATTTATGCATTATTATTACGTTTATTATCCGATGACAGCAATTAATTATTAAAGTTTGGTAATTTTCCGTTTAAATTGTCCATTAACATACCATAAAAGTGACATATTTAAATCATTAACCTACATTCAACCTATTTTCATTTTCTTTTCCAATTGACTGTACCAGAGCCCTTTCAACACCTATCGCCGCAAAAAAAACGAGCCTGAAAATCTCGATTTAAACAGCAAAACGATTACCACGATATAGTTAACGCACCTTTCCTTGTTGCAGATTTTCCACGTGTCGAAGTAGGGCCGGAAAACCCTCTACGAGTCGAAAGGGATTCCCAAGCCACCCTCCGATGTGCCGTAGACGCCAAGCCTAAAGTTACGACCATACGGTGGACGAGAAACAACAGGTAAGTGGAAATTAATATATAATGAGGTTTTGTTATCGAAATCTGAATAATAAGGGTCGTGTCTATTCATTTTTAATATTTGTTGATGACGGGTTGCCAAGCATCGCGTCGGGCTAATTTTAGGATTTTTCGTCAAAATTTATACAAAATATATTCATCTCTCCAATTTAATTCGGTGGAAATATTTGATCCAATCCAACAGCGAAAAACTACTAGACTAATCATAATAATTAAGCATTCAGATTATTGTCCGACCAAAAATCGTTGTAATCCAACATATTTTTCATGTTTCAGAAAATATGGCGAGACAAAGTTCTTACTTTGTAGTTACCACTTATTATATCCTGAACCTGAACCAACAAAAAAAAAGTGTACCTATCAAATATTGTAATAGCCTACAATTTGTTGGCCGTGATCTTGTCAGAAATTTGAGCTATCCCACAAGCGTATCGATATTTTCAATTACTCAACTCCAAATTTTATAATCTGGGCCATTATTCATTTTTTTCCACACCTTTATTTTATCTTAAATTATAGCGACTAATTTCATTCAATTTTGAATTCCCGATCGATTTCTTAAGTGGCCAAAAAGACTTCTCTCGGCGCCTTTTTTTTATTAAAATTGTCGTCCTAATTTACTGTGGAAAGCGAAACTCTTAATATTTTTTATCCTTATTTATTTAAAATTAAAAATCTGATGTGTCCAACACATGACTTTCCTATCTAGTTATTACAGGCTTTTTCCGGTTATTTTGTACAACCTATTGCAGCACCTTCATAAATGTTTAGAGGATAAAATAAATATATACATTTTCCACATACATCTACCTAGAGACATTTTTCTATAGATATTCATTGAAAATGAAAATACTGAAAAATTTAAATTTAGCACTTTTCCTACAATTTTTACATTACGGTCCATTTTAGAAAAATCATGTATAAACAAAAATTATAGAGATCGATATCGCAAACAACTTTTATTTCAACAATTTTCATAAAAATCAGAATTTTGCACATTTTGTCAAATTTCTCGAATACGGACCATTTCAGGAAATTTTGACATAAAACAAAAATTATAGATAATAATATTAGAAATAACTTTTATTTAAACAATTTTTTTCTCCAAACATAAATAACAGATATATTCCATAAAATATAAAAACGGCCCCCCATAAAGTACCCCCCCCCCCCAGATGTTCCGACTTTGTCCAAAATCTAATCATTTCACGTCAGGTCGAAATAAAACTTAAGTTTAAAATTTAATGTTTTTTTCTTTATCCGTTTTTGAGTTTTCTTCAAATTTCGAAATTTACACATTTTCTCAAATATCTCGAATACGGTCCATTTTATTATAGAGAATTATATTACAAACAACTTTTGTTTGAACAATTTTTATAAAAAAATATTTTTTTACATTCTGTCAAATTTCTCGAATACGGACCATTTTAGGAAAATTTTGTATAAAACAAAAATTTTAGATAATAATATAAGAAGTAACTTTTATTTGAAGAATTTTTTTCTCCAAACGTAAATAACAGATATATTCCATAAAATATAAAAATGACCATCCATAAAGTACCCCCCCTCCCAGATGTTCCGACACTGTCCAAAATCTAATCAGCACATTGGACGCTGGAACAAAGCTTAAGTTTAAAATTTGGTGTTTTTCTGTGTATCGGTTCATGAGTTATGCGACACACAGACACACACACACACACACACACACACACACACACACACACACACACACACAGACAGACATCATCGCGAAAATAGTCAAAACGAATTCAGGGGACCTCAAAACGTAAAAATCCGTCGAAAACTCGATGTCTAAAAAAATCATGATTCCTATACTTTCCTTATATCTGTATACAGATAGGAAAGTAAAAAAGTAGCTTTTATTCATGCATTTTATTTTTTACAGGTTTATCAGTTCATCCCACAACCACACGATACATAGGGTGAGCATCCAAGACGCTGGCAAATACACGTGCGTAGCCGACAACGGACTAGGAAAAGTCGGAGAAAAGGAAATAACTTTGGACGTAATGTACACTCCAGTGGTAACCATTGGAACCAAAACCAAAGAAGCGGAAGAAGGAGAAACAGTCACTATCAAGTGCAACGTAAGCGCCAATCCTCTACCGTCAACGATCGAATGGATAAAAGATGGTAAACCAGACTTCAGGCAAAGTGGAGACACTTTGACGTTAACTCAAGTAGCAGCTGAATATTCCGGAACTTACATCTGCCGAGCTATCAATGTTATCACCCCTAGCGCACCACCTCTCAGATCTACTGAAAAAATCGGCAATGCATCTATAGCTCTATTAGTTCGTCATCGTCCTGGCCGTGCTAGAATCATGCCAGATAAACCCATCGCTACTGAAGGCTCTTCGGTTAGTTTAACCTGTACAGCATCTCCTCCTGGTTGGCCGGCACCTCAGTACCGATGGTTCAAAATTGGTTTAGACGGACAATCAACAATACTTGCTACTGGGACCAAGTATACCATAACTAACGCCAATTTAGCCACCGAAGGTGTCTACAACTGCCAAGCTACCAATGAACTAGGTCCAGGCGAAATGGCTTCTGTAGATCTAGAAGTTTACGTCCCCCCAAGCTTCAAAAATAAATTAAAACCACTAGAAATGAAAAGAGTAGGGGAAAGCAATTTTGCAGTAGCTTGCAGCGCTAGAGGTAAACCAAAACCGGTTGTAAAATGGTTGAAAGATGGAGAAGAACTTACTGCTGATGCCAATATGTTTGAGGTTAAGACTGATTATTTAGAGACCAGCAATAGAGCTGTCAGTGTCCAAAGTGTTCTGAAATTCTCCGGAAAGGCTAGACCAAACGGCAATGAATTAGTACCATCTGATAGAGGCGTTTACACTTGTACTTTTGAAAATGAGGTTAAAAAGTCTGAATCGGCGATGCACTTGAAAATTGAACGTAAGTGGTTCTCAATAACTTTTCCAATTATTTCTTCTTTCATATCAATTATTTTGTTAAATTTGTCTAGTTTGATCTTTAATATAATGTTCCATAATCATATCTGGTCTTAGTTTTCTTATCCAAGTCTTAGAAATATTTGAATCGGACATTTCAAAAACAACAAAAATCAATATTCAGTAGACACAAAAAAAATTTTTATACAAAATTTACATTTCTTTAAAATAAATTAATATTTTTTTAATAAAGTATTTACGTATTTAGATTTTATGAATAGAATGAAAGATATAAAAAACCCAAGTTAAAGAAAATTTATGTTTTGTTATTGACTTAGTGGTTTTTGAACAGAACAATTTTTTTGTATTTGTTATGAAAGGAAATAAGAACAAAAATCTACATTATCAAAACGTTTAATAAAAAAAAATTTAAAGAGAAGATAACTTCAAGCTTGAAAAATAAGCTGATAATATAAATAAAAATACCAACTTAAAAAATCGACTGTCCGTGCAAAAACCACATAAAGTCATCTTATATGGTATTTTTAACGAATACAAAAATTTAAAAAGATTTATTTATCTAATAGTTCTGTGATTTTTGAAATGACCGATTCATTTGTGATGTTACTAATCTCGACCGACTTGACTTTCATTATATCTTTAACTCTTCTTTACAGATGAGCCAATAGTATTGCATCATTTCAATAAAGTAGCTTTCGATACTGGCGAAAGAGCAGAGGTTCTATGTAAAGTACAAGCATTTCCCAAACCTGAGTTTAAATGGTTTTTTGGTTCCAATGTTAGTCCGCTACATTCCTCAACCGAGGGACACTATGTTGTGCATACCTCCAGCGAAGAAGATACATACACCAGTATTCTCAGGATTTCAAGTATCAGAAAAGTCGATTATGGAGACTATACCTGTCAAGTTGTCAACAGCCTTGGAACGACAGAAACTAAAATTAAATTACAACCAAAGGTACTTATATTTTTACCCTAAAATAGACTGTGATTAATTAAGACAATTTTTTATTTTCAGGGACCACCAGAAAAGCCTACCAAACTAGTAGCTTTACATCACGGGCACAACTTTGTTACACTTGGATGGGAACCCGGTTTTAACGGTGGAATTGCCAATACAAAATATTTCGTATCGTATAGAAAAGTAGCAAGTGAAAGTGATATCATCATTGAAGGATGCAACAATGTTGCACGGTCTGGAGATTGGAATGAAGTTGATTGCCTTCACAGCGTGCCGTGCAACGTATCTCATCTCGAACAATACCAAAGCTACCTTTTCAAGGTAAAGTGATATATATGGTCTAAAGAATGTTATAATATTTCACTCACTTGAACAATGTGTATTTGATACGGATCATAATTCATAATACAATTCTTATATAAATAATTTTTTTATATATTAATTAATTTTAGGTTAAAGCATTTAACACCAAAGGAGTAAGTGAAAATTCACAGGACATTCGCGAAAGGACAAGGGTCGATATTATTCCAGTGCCACAAAAAGTAGAATATGACAAAAATGCCAACGCCTTATCAATAAACGTACCACCAACTTGTCTTCCCCTAGTGGCGGTAGTAGAAGCCGTCAGTAATGAACACCATCCTATTACAGCATGGCAGGTTATAGATACCTTGGTCCTGCAAGTATCAGGATTGGTGCCAACTTTCAAGGAGAAAAATTTAAATCAAATGACTTCTATGTATTACAGAGGAAGGGCTTTGGTTGATGAACCTATCGGAGTTAATGATGAAGATAGTCCTAAAATTAGAGTCAAATTATGTCTTCAAACACATCCTGAACATTGCAGCGACTTTGTAGATGCTGAATGTAAGCCAAACTCGCTATTTTTATGATTCTTATTTAATACTATTTTTTTTTTGTCAGTTGGTACAGGATTCATTAGGGAAGCTTCAGCATTAGGAACACCAACGATAATCGCTATAATTGTAGCTTGCATCGTGTTACTCCTTTTGGGAGGTCTTCTCTTCGTGTTCTGCAGATGCAGAAAGACTGAATCTAATAAAGCACCTCAAACCAAAGACTACGAGATGGACTCATCGGAACCAACGATCATTCCACAACAAAACCAAGCTCCTCCCCCATACTATCCTTCATCCGGCATGGACAATAAAGCTCTTGAACATTCGTTGGATTTAGCTCTGGCTCTTGAAGAACAAAAGTCTGTGTACGCGACGCAAAATGGTTATGGATATCATGTGGCAAATGCAGATATTCAATCTAGACAGAATTTGAATAACACTGACTGTAAGTACTAAAAATTTGTATCAGTAAAATACACTGTACACTAACTTGTAACATTTTTTTACTGATTTTCTGTTTTGTTGCAGGGGCTAATATGGGTTACATAGAAAACAGCTACTCGAATTCAAACAATGGCGGTAGCGTAAATTCACAAGACTCCTTGTGGCAAATGAAGATGGCTGCCGCATCAACAAATTCAAATAACCAGCTTCAACAACACCATATCAATGTAGATAGACAAAACACTTATGGATATGATCCTATAACACATGGTGGTTATGGAGCAGTAGACGACTATGCCCCCTACCCACATATAACTACTCAAAGTAACCATGGTGACGAGTATATAAGAAACAGTAATAATCCGTCCAGACAAGACTACTGTAGTGACCCCTACGCCTCAGTTCATAAACCAAAGAAACGTATTGAACAGCATATAGGTAAGCAGAAATAAAAATTATAGGAAAAACAAATCCTTATTTTTTACCTCTAAGAATTTAAAGGGGTAATGTTAGTATACTCTTCACAAAGTAGTCTGTGAAGAGTAGTATATGTTTACTTTAAAGAAACAAAAATTTTTAATATTCATCCACATTTAAAAAATTTTGTACGAAAATCCTTCTCATCAAATTTTAAACAACTTTTAAAAATATCTGTCCGTCCGTTTTCACGTTTTTTGTCCGCACGATAAGTCAAAAACGAAAAATGATATAAACTTAAAATTTTCAGGAAAAATCAATCTCTATAAGGGTACGAAGCCTACTGATTTAAAAAAATCTGATTAAAATGGGGGATTAAGGGGAGAAAAAAATATAAAAAAAAAATAATATATCAAAAACAGAAAAAACTCAAGCTTTATAATAGGACGAAGCTTATTGAGTTTTAAAAAATCTGATCAAAAATAGGGGGGTTAAAATTTAAAAAAAAAAATCATAAATCAACAACAAAAAGCGATATCAACATGATATTTTTATTAAAAATCAAGCTCTATAAGGAGACAAAGCCTATTGATTTTGAAAAATCTTATTAAAAATGGATGGGTTTAGGGGGGGGGGGGTGAAACTTAAAAAAATCATAAAACAAAAACGAAAATATCATCTTGAAATTTTCAGGAAAAATCAAGCTCTACAATGGGACGAAACCTATTGATTTGCTGAAACATTTAATCTAATAGACCGTTAGATAGCGATAGGTTTAGGTGCCCCATTTTTGCATTCAAGCCTCGAAAAGGGGTTAAAAGTACATCGATTTTGAATAGAATGAAAGGATATTTACGAGTGGCTCCTGGATATAAGATATGGAAAATTCTATTTTCCTTAACAAAAATTATTATTTTGCCCATATTTTCACTCAAGCCGAGTTCACTAAATGATTAACTAATAGAACTAGGCTTCAGAAATCCAAAGGTTTTAATATTTCCAGTCGCTAAAGGGTTGAAATAAGGGCGTTATATTGTAAAGAAAAATATAGATTTTAATCGATTTTTCCACCAAGCCCATCGAATGTATAAAAACGTATATCGTCACTAGTCTGAAAAATATATTTTTCTGTTAAGAAAAATCGAATTGTCCATGTGTCATTCTACTCAACATCGAGGCTTGTATGCGAAAATGGAGCACCTAAATCGGTCACGGTCTATAATATTAATTGATCTAAATACAATTAATCTAAAAACCAATTTATCTAAATTGTATTTGATCTAAAATATCTTGGTCTAAAGTGAAGCAGAACTAAAAGAGCATTGGTCTAAATTAGATTTAAAGGAAATAATTCTCAAATGTGACTCAATTTAAAAATAAACAATAAAGAAAAAAGAAAAACCCAATGTCCTTGTCACAGAAACAACGAGCGATAATTTCCCTCCTAAAAACAACTACTCCTTTGACTAATACCGCAGCAAAAGGTATTGTATTATATCAAATGGCAGAGACGGAGAATAATTTTCAATAGTTTAACTTTGATTTTGCTTCCTAATAGACATGAGCAAAAACAAATGGTTAATTCAATAACCGGTTAAACAGACGTCAATTAACCGATTATTTTGGGTTATTTGCAACCCGGTTTAACCTAATTATCGATTTTGATTACAAATGACTGAGCATTGGATTTTTTCACAAGTAAAACTTTTCAAACGTTTTAGATCCATCTACGCAAAATACGGATAGTTTGAGATTGGTTCTAGCTAACAAAAACATCTAAACCGGGACCCTATCCTCGGCTATCGTTTTCTAAAGAAGGTATACGCTTTAGCAACATGCGAGCTATTCGCTATTCTCGACTTTCTTTTTAAAAGCGTGTGCGTTTTTAAATCGGGTGTTTTACAGAGTGGAATTTTTCACACGTTTTTGATAAAACGCATATGTTTTCAGGGATTTAGCCAATGTCACTTATATGTCACTTTTAGGATGTTTAAAAATATTGATTGATTTTAACAAATTCTAGGTAAACTACTTATTTTTAATACATACAAAAGTATCTAATTTCTTATAAATATGGTATGCGGTACTAAGAAAGTCTAATAGCTGAGAATTTCTTTCATTTATTTATTAATTGTACAATTAAAAAACTTGGAAGATAAGAATCCTCAAAGATTCAGACAAGCAGAGGCAGAATCTATATTTTGAATTAAATGGATATTGAATGAATATTATTTATATCTTACTATGTAAGAATTTAATTATTGATTCACGTATGTTTTATTTACAGATATTAATTTGCTTGCGGTTTCTTCCTAGTGGTAGTTCAAAGATCTTCTGTATCACACGTTGTGTCCATAAATTTAATAATTTTGTCAAATTGCCACAAAATATTAAAGAACTAAATCAGATTAGCAAAGTTATTATTTAAATTAATTTTGTATCATAAAAACTAGGTTTTTATGGTGATTTTCCTGGAATTAAAGGTTCCATTGACTGCACCCGTATAGCTATTTTTCCGTCATAAAATAACGATTTAGTTTATCCTGTGAAATGGTACCAGGGTATTAATAGTTCTAGTGGTAAACAAATGATGCACTTATTCACAACTGTTTTATTATGATTTAATTAACTTAATTTAATGAGACTTTCTCACAACATAGGTACCTAGTTGCCTCACTTCCAGTCCCGCCAAAATCTTGACTCCTGACTCAATCAATCTCTATTGTCTTCCTTGCGCTAGTCGCACTCATACGTAACTCGTCAGAGGCGTACCGCCTACCGTACAAACCACTTAATCACCCCCCCAACTTAAACAATACGACACAGTAGGCAGTGTTTCAGTTTTAACCCAAAATTAATAAAGAAAAGAAATATCAAAATCAATAATCAGAAATAAAAAAACAAATATCTACAATAAAAAAATAATCAGGAGAGAACTAGGGACTCTTTATAAAGTTCAAGATTAATAATATTTTGTTTAGAAATCCTCATTTCCAAGTTCGTCTCCCACTATATATTAGTCAGGACCCACTTCACGTATATATAAAATGGACCCTCATAAGAAAAATTTCTTAATCGTTCGCTCAATCGCGGAAGATTGATAGTGCGTACGAACTAAAACCTTGTCATTGACATTTAAAGAAACCGTTTTGAACTATTATAGAACGTGCCTTTACATCGCACTTTTTCCAAATGTCTTGCAGTGTTGCATCAGTCGGCATTGTCTCATCAATTGTCTTTTTGACATTTTACTTTCCAATACCAATAGTAATCTGAATTTCCATTTTGACCAGTCTTTTCCATCAAATATCGGTAACAACAATCGTCCTTCTTTTTTTTTGTGTCATCGGCTTCAATTGCTAAGGTTATTTCGCCTCGTGTTCGGTGTAGGCTTTGTTAATGTTTCCCAGCGCCACTTTAAAAATAGCACTGTTAATTAGAACCCAACAGTGAATGGTCAAGTGGGGAATCCTACCAAGGCATCAGAATTAATTTTAAATAATTAAATTAAATGAAAATATCCTGGCCAACGGTGGGATTCGAACCTGGGACCCTACGATCCGCAGGCAGAGACTCTACCACTGAGCCTCCCACCCCCTCCAATCGTCCTTCTTATCGGCCATTTTCTTTTCTTACTTAGAATTGTATTTTAGGCGGCTTGAATGATAAATGAAATATTTTTTTTAATCTGACATCGGACTAAAGCGGGACACAATTGTTTTAATCGGACAAAAACGGGACATAATCGGGACACATGTTAAATCGGGACTAGAGATTTAAAATCGGGACTGTATCGCTTAAATCGAAACTGTCTCGCCTAAATCGAGACTGTATCGCCTAAATCGAGACTGTCTCGCCTAAATCGGGATGGCTGGTTATTTCATTGTAGCAGCTAGACATTATAATTTAATTATTTTTTTTTTCAGATTCTCCTTATCATGACGTGAGTGGTTTGCCAGATCCCTACTTAGACCAGATAGAAGACGAAAAACCTCCACAGCACATGTCTCTAAATTATGAAGAGAGTTTGGAAAGTGGATATTCGACACCCAATTCCAGAACAAGAAGGGTCATTCGGGAAATAATTGTTTAAAATTACATAAATTTTGCATCAAAATATCACCCACTCCGAATTTCTTTTCAGTTTATATTTTTGTCGAATGTTATCTTCTTGAGTACCTGACGGACTTTTCGTCTAAGTGTTGCTGAGTTACCCTTCCTTTAAAAATTAGCACATTTTCTTCATATACAGAATGCCCTGTCATTGTCGAATATATTTAACTTTAATTGGGCATCCTGTATATTTGCTGGGTCTTGATGAAAACATGTATTTTGAACATTAAATCTAGTAATAACTGTGACTTGCTCTTTGGTGTTTTCAATGTGCAAAATATACACAATATGTATACAGGGTATAATTATTGTATGAAATAGATGTTAAACAAAAAAAAGATATAAAATAGCGTTACCCTATATTTCAAATATTTTTGACCAAATTCAATATGTGTACCCCGCGATCTCCCTAGGGCATCAATATTCAGCACCTTTTAAGTTTTCAAAATCTTTAATTTTTATATATAGTATCTTTGATGTAGACTAAAATGATTTAATAATATACTTTTTATTTGATCTTTACTCTAATAAGCTAAAAAAAAAATGATCCAAAGATATGTAGAGTCTGACGCAATCTCGACAACTTTGTGGTGATGAAAACCTTTATGAAATATTTAATCCTTTATCATAAGTGAGAAAGGACCAGAGGATTTATAGGATTAGCTTCGAGCAGCCAATCGTTTCATCCAAAATCATTTATAAATAAAATTTTCTATCATATTCTTGAACTCGCATTAGATCATTTGCTATTTAAACATTATTAAGGTCTCAACCACTTTCTTGAAATTACTATTTTACTTTTTAAATATGCATAGTTTTCAGATGATGGTTGTCAGTCACAGGTCATAGAATGGCCTACAATTTTTATATATTTTTTGCGACCTTCTTTTCATTTTCTTAGTTTACCATTATGGTGTATCCGTTTTATTAGACCTATTACCTTTATACAGATCCAACCTCTGTTATACGAACAAGGTAAACGTGATGACCAAATTACCCTTGTCCGCAACTGTCATTGCAAAACTTATACTTTTGACATTTTTGGCATAACTTTTATAAATATTACAACACAATTTTGTATAGTAAAGAATATTTTTAAATTAAATGCGAAAAAAGAACAAAAATAATATAATCAGACCGAAAATAGTGTTTCAACAAGGCATTCGTATATATTCGTATATACCTACTAAATTTATAATAACTTTTGAGTGTCAAAATAGTGCAGTAGGTAAGCTTGATAGCTTGTCAACCTACAGCCCACCATGGTGGATGACAGCTGTCATTCATCATGCAATCGACTAAGGGAGGAGGTAGTTTTTTTCAGAATCTATGCTAATGATACCTAGTAAAAAATACATTTTAATATACAATTAATATGGGATAAAAACTTCTTTGATTTTATTTTAAAAAAATGCAATCAATAATAAACTAATTTTTAATGTACTGGGTGTTCAAATATATCTCCTTGAAGATTGACCTTATTTCAACCAACATATTGGGTTAATGAATGAAATGTCTGTCACCTATTTGTCGAATTATACTGCTATGAAAATGCCATCAGAATCTGTACTTTTTCAGCAATCCCTTAAAGTTTTACCTAAATTAAAACGAAATACAGGAGCACAAAATTTTAAAATGATAGTTGTAGACAAGCATAAATTGATGATCACGTTTCCCGTGTTTCTACTACAGCGGATGAATCTGGATAGCTGCCTGCTGCAGGATTTTCATTGCTCATTTTTGAATTAACCATTATGAAATATTAGATCATAATATCACCAGTTCTTGTAAGCAATAACTCAATAAAGTATATTATTAAATTGTGAGAAGGTAATTAAATAATTTACAAAATACATTTTTGTATGACTATAGTATATATTTCATTTTGTTTTCATTATCAGGCTCAAATTGGTAACACACAGCACTATTTTTCCCAATTTAGTATTAAAATGAGGATAATCGATGGAACTGAAGCCGACTATTGCATGGTGCTAAGTTAAAGACAGCAATTTTGTTATAAATGCATATATTTATTTTTATAATTACACGTGAGCACAATTTTTTCTTCCTATTCTGTTAAAAATAGTTTCTACTGTAGATGTTAATTCTGCCTAATTTGTCAATATTATTTGTTGATGAAATGATGTAGAATTAATGTCTCTTTGAACTGCTCGAAGAAATATCGCAATTTAGTGAGCTGTCCAAATATTTGTCGAGTCCTTAGCCCGATGCTTTAATCTGTGGGCGACCAACGACTCTCCTCATTACACCTTCGCAGATGTGTGTCATTTATCATTTTCGTGGTCATTTCCATGTGACTTATCATTGCCATTTTTAGCAAAATGTGAGGCTGAACGTTGTAACGGAGAACAATTTTAATGAAATGTGATTTAAATTGCAATATGCGATTGTTGTGCTCTATATTGTTGTATATTGTTAAGATTTATTTATTGTGTTATTTTCTAGTATCTCGTCTATAATTATTTTTTTCTGTATTGGTTTTGTTGTAACTTTTGTTGTATCAAAAATGAATGTGCCAAATGAAAATAACACAATTTCATTTTTTTATAAAGCATAACTTAATTGTACTTAACTTATATGCTGTTCTTTCCTGGTTGTTTCATGAGAGGTCCGTAATACAGATGAAATCTCTAAATAATCTAAAATATTTAAGTTAAATTCTGAAAAATAGTTTTTGATAAAGTATTTTATTGCTTTTGTAATCTATATTTTTGCAAATCATGGCACATAAAATTTGAGAGTTGCAGGCTAAAAATTTAGTTTATAAATACGCAATTGAAATACAGGGTGCTTAAAAAACTATTTATTTCAGTTTTCTACTCATTTTAGGAATATACAGTGCTGGCAAGTAGGACTGAAGTACTTTGCTTGTGTTGGAGTGAATAGTAACTATTATACAGGAAAATTCACATTTGGAGTCGTGAATTGGTAGCGGCTACCAACTGGTTAATAGCAACGTTTATGCCATATCCTTTCCTATTCTGCACATGCGAACGGCATTCTCTTTTTACTTCAATACAAGCAAAACGCGACTAATTAAAAAATTTAAAGTGTAAGTACACTTAAGATTTTTTATAAACTGTCCAGACATTATCATACAGAGTGAGTTTATAAGTCCTTAGAACACCATAACATGTCCAAATCGGTCTTAATCTGAAAACTGATTATTACTCATTTTGACAATATACTATTCTAAAAATATCTAAAAATACAATTTTTCGCTATAAGCCTAGGTTTCTGAATAAAAACAGAACTAGTGAAGTTATCTTTATTTTAATTTGCCTTTTGTATGAGTTTTGGTTTACTCGTAAACTTAAAATTATAACTATTTATTTTTCAAAATGACTGTCGCTGACATTCTTCAGCTGTGTTAGGAATTAAGCAATTAAATCTATCAATATATTGTTTGAAAATTTAATTGAAGGCTGCAATTAAGCTTAATTACAGTTACAGCCGGTTCCGAGAACGTCCTTTAAAATTTATGACCCTGGTAGAATTGAGATATGTCTGAATGACATGAACTTAAAATTATTCACAGTCTAAACTATCTGTCAAAATTGATTAAGCTACCAAATGTTAATAAACGTTCTTGCAACCGGCTGTAATTCTTCTTTTTAATTGCAACGTGCAATTAATTCTATTGCAACTCAATTTGACCACAATTAATTATTTTATTAATTCAGAACTTTGACTAAATTTCTGAAATTCACAACGAAATATGAGTATCTTTTGTGAAATCGCCAATTTTGTAAATTATTAATAATGGTAAATGATGGAATATGGAATTCTTATTTGTAATTGCTAATTCCAATCCCAAATATGAATTTAATGGGTCATGGTTATATTTCCCTCTCACTGTAGTTTGCCATATTTAAAAACATTTGTTGGTGATTGTTAGACAATCACAATAGCCAAAAACTGGTATTATCTTTTAAATTTTTTGGATCGATTTGGAACATTTTTATATGTACAACTAGTGGAAAGAACACATTTAGAGTACTTATACTTTAGATACTTATTTTCTTTAAGGAAGTATAATATCGTGATCTCAAGTAAATGATGATTTGCTTGTTCAGAAGCTTCGTTTTTTGAATTACAACAACCGATTGATTTTAGGTAACTATTTTTGTAATTTTTTAAATGTAATATTCTTGTTGTAATTGAAAGGAGTACAGTTTCTGAAAAAACAAAATATCGAATTATAGAAAGAAGTTATATGAAATTGAGAAAGCGCAAAGATTATGGTTTTATTGATTTTTTTTTTTCAATGTGTAAATCATTTTTGTATATAAAATTTGACAAGACTCTTATTTTTTTGTATATTTAAGGTTTAGCTATAAAGAAAAAATATACATTGTATTTGTAAATACATAAATATAATGGATGCACTTTATTTGTAATTGGATTATTTGTAAATAAATGTCTATTTAAGAAATTATTTTTTTTTGTTCCCCGCGCGGGTCTGGCACTTAGTCAGCTATCTATCCTAGTCCTAGAATATTCATATATCGTAGCAAAATTTTAATGTCACTATTATCACCAATCAAATTTTGTCATTTGGTTCATAAGAATTAAATACCTACCTATTAAAATTACAATGACAGAAGAAAATTTTTTCCTGGCATAATCTTAAAAGTATCTAATTACTACTTATGCTGAGTTCGATCGGAAAACTCGGAGTAGAGTTGGCGCAGGAGTTAATTTTGGTCACGTGGCATCTGAGTCAAAATAGCTTATCGTATTAATTTGAACGGTACTTTGTTTAAAAGTTTGGAAATAATAATAAACATAACCTTATATAAAATAATAATCTTATTTTTGTTTGCGGAAATAATAATAAACATTAATAATAAAATAATCTTATTTTGTTTGCGGTTGAAAAAAATTAATTAATGTGGATAAGAATCTCTGTCCAGGACAGGGATTCTTATGTGCGTACTCAACACGTAACGAATTGAATAGAAAGAGAGAGACATTAGATACGAATCTCATTCTATGGAACGAAGATAGTCATCTCAACACGTGCCGAATTGAAAGATGAGAATTCCAGTGCATTTCAAATTGTCTATAACATAACCTATATTGCCATTAAAATTTTAGATAAGAAGTCCAGCTCAAAATGAATTCATGCAAAAAAGTTATTTTTGGACAAATACAGGGAAAAATCATGGATTAAAAGAAAGGAGGCAAAAGGCAACAGGGAAGGTTGTTTGCTATAAAAAAAAATGTTTTCTAAAGTAAGACATGACCGACAAAGAACGAGATGCGAGTCATATAACCATGATAACCACGCACGGAGCTAAATTAAATCCAAACTGACAAAAAAGAATTACGTACTACACCAGTGATAGTACTGGTTGGGGCGATATTATCTTATCTCTGGTAAATGTCCACCTTCTACTTTATATTCAAATTAAGCGCAAGTAAAGCATTAACCCAACTAGCCCCATAACTACAGCATGATACGCACAAGCTCGACTGCTATTGGTCAGCCCAGTGATCCCATTTTGAATGTTTCCCTACCCTTATGAAGACCTTAGATCTACCCTCTAGCTCTATGTGCTGCAGTCATGGGGCTAGTTGTGTTTACGCGTTACCCGTTTGGCGTTCAAGTAGCAGGGCTTGATTCCATCTTCAACAGTACCCCCAATATATTTATAGATCAAAGCTTAAAAACTTAAGTCTGCAATTTTGTCGGTATTTATCTATAACTTTATCGCTGGGTCGCTAGCTAACTGTGAGAGGTATTCGAAACACCGATTATAGTACACTAGTATGAAGTATGTCACCGTCTGGATGGATGACCGAATTCGTAGAGTCCGTGGCCCATCTAGATGGTAGAATGCATGAGTATAATGAATGGGAAGGAGTAGGGTATACAAAGCATTTACGTCTGCAGTGCCGCCATGCGAACCCCTCTGGGAGGAGCAGGAAGGCAGCTAAACTTGATTGGGGCAGCCTGCATGGACTCATCCGGGAGAAGACGTATGTCTGAAAGAGTGAAATAAATACAATAGAAATCGTGTATGTCTAGATTCCAGAAAGATGTCTTCCCTGCAATAATTACACTTAAAACAACCATTTGACAATTTTCAAAATCAATTTTATTTAATTTCTTAAAAAATGTTACAAAACAAGTATAAAATTCCATTGGTTTAATAAAGTGTGATAAATTTAAAAAAAAAATTCTAAATTAGGCCATGATCAACAAAGACAGATATACGAGTTATGGCCATGATTACTACACACGCCTCTGAATTAAATACAAGCCGTACGTAATTAAAAAAAAAAGAAATTTTTTCCATGGTTTACTTTAAAATCATTTTTTTTAATACAAAAAGGGGTCAACTGCTTTTATAATACTATGGTTTTTATTTAACAAGAAGTCAAAATGAAAAGGCTAAAAATAGGAACCTTCGTCAAAAAGTTAATTCGTTGTAGTATACTAATCAATAAATGTTATGATGTCCAAATTAAAACAAGTTATAGAAATAATTTTAAAAAACCGACTCCAAAATCGTACAGATGCCATTACAGATTGAGTTGGCTGCTTTTATCATAGATCCCATCATCAGAGCTTGTCCAAATGTATATGTAACCATTCCTGTCTAACAAAAAAAGAATCATATAAATCGGACAAGATTGTATAGAATTATCGCTGAACATACTTAAAAAAAATGAACAATTTGATGATTTTCTCATGAACCCAGTTATTAAATCTTGACTAAATATAGGACGAGCCCTGAGATACCCTCTTTCTAACAAAAAAGGGATTATATAAATCGAACAAGGTGGTATAGAATTATCGCTGAACATACATAAAAAATATTCAAACGAATTAAGATCCTCCTCCTTTTTTTGAAGTCGGTTAATAAATAACTATTAAAAGCTTCTCAATTAAAATCTAGCAACCTGGTGAATTAGAGAAATGGCGAGTTCTTATGATATGAATTTATTGCTGTCAAAGTAGGTATAACTTAAAAAGGTGTTTTAAGAAAACCTAATATGGATTTACCAAGTCAAGATTTAGAGGAATACGTTGATAAATTCGAAAATATATTTACAGTAAGTACTTTTACGGAATACGTCTAAATCTGCTGATAAATTAAAACGTGTTTAATCAGTTTAATAATTTTCGATATTTTTTCGATCTCTAGAATCAGAAACGTAATAAAAGGCATCGAGATGACTTGTTGCGTCTTATTCAAAATATCTCTTCAGAATTGCAAATTTCTAGAAAATCGGAAAATTTTTGGAGAAAAAATCTCAAGGATCTATTAGAAAGAGAGGATATTAATCTTAACCAAAAATATGTTGAATCAAAAGGTAAATTATTATTTTAAATTACCTAATTTATTTATATAAATTTATTTGTAATATTGCTTTAAAATGTTTTTTCATCGACTTCTATTTATAGTAGTACATTTTTCACGCATTCACGTGCCTAAAAATAACTTTCCCCACGTTATGGAGATGTAGAAATTTAAGATTTCATAATTAATATCCGTGTGAAATAAGTAAAAAATGACAGATGCTAACAAATTTTGTACTGCTTTTACGCTTACTAGAAAATAAATGCAACATAAAACACGTGTATATGCGGATAAAAAAACGCTAGCCGAAGCGTAGATTGAATTTTTTTCCTCTACGATCACATACTTTGATTATGTGTCTACGATAGATCAACGGCACAGATTAACCACAACAGATGCGAAACCCGGCAAAAGATCAAAGGATTTTGAAATGAGATTTCTGCAAAGACATTACAACTAAGAGACCAAATTGTTTACATGTTTATGTGGCAAATCATTATTCCCACCAGATTCCCGTTTATTGCGTCTTTGCCGATGTTATCAGTCTGTCAAAATTATTTGGAGAAATTACTTTCGAAAAATAAAATTTGATGTGTCCTGTAACTATAATTTTATATTATATAAATAAAAATATGTTTTTAATCAAATTATTCTTTGAAGTTTTAATATAAGCTAATTTTTTTATTAAAAAGTCAATATTAATCTAAACAAAATATTAGGGTTTCGAAGAATTCCGTAAATACTGCAACGCTGAATATCTTATTTTACGAATTTACAATTTTTATGAATGAAATGTAGTACCGTAACCAGCCGCAACGTTGCCAATCAGGTCTGATAGCTATTTTGTATTTCTGACAGTATCTGACAGTTTCTGTGTGACTTATTGATCTATTCATTTATAAAATACTATTTTTGTGAACTTTTGTGAGAAATATAAAGAATTATGGTACATGCATGTGTAGTGTTCAAAAAGGTAGATCATTTAAGTCGAAATGTATGGTTTCATCGGTAAGTATTTTTAGGTTAAGATATGTTGTTTTCATTTGAACCAGTGGAGTAGGGCTTGTACAAGATTTGATACAATTTCTTATAGAATTTAAATTATATAGGATCACATAGTAAATTGTTTGAAAAATGATTATCCAATCTAATTTTTCAGACAATTTACTGCAGGTTTGATAATATACAATTTAAATTGTACAAGAAATTGTATCAAAAACTTGTATAGTCTAAAACAGTTTTAAAACAGTTTTTAAAGTGATATTCCTTTTATAAATTAGTAAATTATACCAATAAATAATTATTGAATAGTGGCAAAGAAAATTTAACTTAAAATGTAGAATACCTTAAAAATTATTTACCTATATATTGAGCACCGATACATATTTTGTATATCTAATGTATGGGTTTTTAGTTCTGATTCAACTGTTTTTGGAACACCACCTGCTGGGAAAAGAAACGTTGCAGTAAGTTATAACATTAATAACTAGCACAAAAAAATTAAATGAAATTTTAGTTAATAAAATTAAAGTATTTTATATATTTAAAACATTATTTTAAAAATTTTTACAGTTTTTTTACGATATTTTTTGCCATACCATGTTTTTTGTAATTATTAATTAAAAAATTATATATTTTTAGGACAGTGTTTTATTTAGATACCCCTACCTACTTAATGTTAATTTAAAATTTTAAATAATTTTGGTTAACATCATACCAGGCAAATATATAGTAAATGCCAATAAACTATAAACCAATAAATATTAAAAATCGAAAGGTAACTTGAATTCGCTTGTATTTGAATTTACTTGTACTTGAATTTACCTACATGAAAAATCAGCAAGTATCATGCAAAACTATTGTCATATACTCTGAAGGCAATTCTCTCACCAGAAATCAAATCACGACTGGTGAAAGACTGTTTAGAAGACCTGACAGAGCTAAGTAGTTAAAATAAGGTGACCTTGGCCTGGGTTCCAGGCCATGAGGGATATCAGGGCAACGAAAAGGCCGACGAATTAGCCCGAGGAGGCTCAGATAAGGCCATGGCAGGCCCCGGACCCTTCTGTGGAGTTGCTATATAAGACATTATACAAGGCATCCATTAAACAATGGATGCAAACAGAGTCTCAGGAAGGGTGAAACAACTATCCAAGACTGAGACAGGCCAAACAGTTCATCAAGGAACCATCGGCCAAGTTTACGAAAGACCTACTGGATCAAAAGCATCAAATAGTTAGGATAACAGTAGGCCTTCTTACTGGACACTGTCGCCTCAAAAGGCACATGAGTGTCATAAATCCAGCAGAAGAAGCAATTTTGTGCAGGTTCTGTGAAGAAGAAGAGGAAACAATATTCCACGTCCTGTGCCAATGTGAATGCCTGGCTGGAATGAGGTTTCTAACATTGGGCGAAGAAAAGCCAATTGCATGCAACTACATGCGGGAGCCACTGTCAAAGCTACTAAGACTAATAAAAAAGACCAGGCTAGACGATATACTCTAAAACAAACAGGAGTCTCACAATAGATCTGAAAAGGTCGCGGTGGACAAGGACAAATAACGTCCAACTCATAATCTAATCTACCTACATGAAAAAATCATCATAATTATATTACTAAAAAAATATACCTACATATTTACGTATTTTTTTAACATACTACTCTGACAATACTGGTAAGTTTAAAACTCTACGCCACTGGCGAGCATATTATGGACACTGTTTACAACGTTGCCAGCCGGTCATAAGAGATCTGTCTTTCTCTCTTCCACTCACTAACAATTTTAGAACAATAACAGTCCGCAATTGTATGGGATTTATGAATGAAACATTTTGTCTATATGTTGTAATGTCTTTGGATTTCTGTGACCTTGAACTTTAAGGCCCGTATTTATAAACAAAACTCAGCTGAGTCGGACTTGGGTAAGTCGTCCTTGAACGAAAATCGAAGTTCGGTTATATCGCGTGAATTTAGAGATGGGTAGTAACAAATCCGTAAATGTACATAACAGTTACAGATTTGCTAATATCCATCTCTAAATTCCAGTTTAACACCAGAACCACCTAGAACTTTAGAGACGTTGTAACCGAACTTTGATTTTAGTTCAAGGACGACTTACCTAAGTCCGACTCACGTAAGTTCTGTTTATAAATACGGGCCTAAATGGGTATGGCATAGGTGTTGCCATTTTAAATTATTTTCAATCTGTCTTACTAAATATCATGGTGGAAAAATACAGGTGAAGCGGTTCGCCGTACGAAATTCGGTCAGTCTTTCGCATGACGTCACTTTCCAAGCAAATTTTTATTATGCCTATTAGCATTTTTTGGCGTGCTCCCGTTGATAAACAGTGACACAGAAACCGTGAAATGTCAAATGCCCCCACTATCATGTCTCGGTTTCTAAAAAATTATTCGCAAAAATGAATCGAGGTTATGTTATGTGTATTTAAAAGGTATTTAACAATAAACAAACTGTGAAGAATCTAAAAGTGAGGAAGACAGACAATTTTTCTTTTAAATAACAAATTCAAATAGAATTTAGAGACAGTTCAACGAAAACTATTATATATAAAATAAAAATATGAACGCACAAAATAAAACGCAACTCTGGCAGCTACCAAAAATTCCAAAACAAAACGGTATTACAGAATGCTATGAACGTCAACTGTCACTATCAACCGTTTGTTCACCACCTCAAGAGGCCGGGAACCACTGATCTGTATTATTTTACTGGATAGGATATAGGCTATATTTAACATACTAAAAATCCGTTCCACCAAGGAGACCGGAAGTGCAACACTGCTGGCCGATTTGGGCAAATTATGGTGGGATCACATAACTGAATTTTGGGATAATTTGACATACCTAACCTATAATTTGATTAGTTTTTCTTCTTATATTCCTTTTGCGGGCAATGTCCTTCGGGACAATTCACCCATAATTTGATTTTTTTATGAAAGAAAATATAAAAATGGAAACGTGAACCATATTGTGTCTTCACGAATGAACGTTTATTGTTTATATCATAGTAATGCTATTCGATACTACCTAAATAAATAAAAAAACATCTCATTGTAACTTGTTGACACAATTAAATGACAAATGTGATGACAAATAGAAATAGAGGTTATGTTAAATAACATCAGGGGGTCGATTCTCGACTCGTAGGAATATTTTCCTATAGGAATTTTTGACATTTTTATATACATCGAAAATTTATGACAGTTTCCTACAGATAGGAAAGTGTCACAAATTCCTATAGGAAAAGGTTCCTACAAGTCGAGAATCGACCCCCTGGTCCTCTGATCAGGTCCGCCCACTCAAAGTATGTGGGTCCGCCATATTATTTGCCCAAATCGGCCAATTTTTCGGAACGTTTTTTAGATGGCTATATCCTATCCAGTAAAATAATACAGATCAGTGCCGGGAACAGATTCATCACGGCGGTAGCAAACAATGACGTCAGTAAATGACGTAACTTAAATATATTATGCTAAATTGGAAATAAATTACCTAGTTTTTGTATATAAAAGAGCACAAAATATATTTTTATTTAGTATTTCTTTTGCACAAGGGCCCAATATCTACCTATAGTGAGTTTTCTTGTAATTTTCTTATATTATTGATCATAACTTATGTGTGATTTATCAGTTATTTTCATTTAAATATATATTTTCAGTTTTATGATGATTATAGAACTAGGAAATAAAAGAATAGGCCTTTTTTTGTGCGCATGCGTCAGTATCAGCCATCTTTTTCGTACTGTTTTTTTGTAAACAAGCATGTCCACGAGAGATAAATTATAATCGATAAAAATCAATTTTTGCAATCAATTAATTATGTTATTCGGAAAGGAAAAACTAAGCGGTATTGTTATGAGTATGTAAAAGTGACAAGGTATAAATTATTATTTTATACAAAGACTTGCATGAAATATCGTAAAAAAGGCAAAATACATATTAAAACATGTTCAAAATGAGCATTATGAGTGAAAAAATGTGGTCGAAGTGA